GGGGGGGTACCACATATTTTATTTATGTCTTACAAGGTGGAATGGGGCCTGACAGCTGCTCTGGCTGCTTGTGCTCTAGTCTAGATTGGAAGTGGTGCGTGTGCAGGATGTCAGGTGCAATGAGGCAACTACGATTGCTAATTTGACACTTAAATTTTTAAAAAGGACGTCCGGCATGATTCAAATGTACATCTTACAATACTATTGCGCTGAGCAAGAACGCCGATTCGAATTATTGCGTCTTTCCTATCGTCCGCTGTGTTGCTTACATCCCTTGAAGCACCACTATAAAAATAAGACGAACAATATCGACATAACATGGAAATAGAGAAGAGATAATCAGAAAGGATACGCGATGATGACGGCGCAGAGATACAACTATTCGTACTTTACGGATGTCCGTGTTGTATCTGCAAAATTGAAGGGGCACTGACACGAGTTTCAAACTAGCAATGCTCCGCTCTATGCTCTGCCGTGCTGAGCAAGAACGCCGCATCCATGAAGATTTTCTCTCGCTTTTTGAAACTTAACACTTTATAAAATATAGACTGTTTTACCCATGCACTTTAAATTTTCAGATTAAGTTCTTGATAGTATCTGCGGAGTTTTATTTATGTTTGCGGAAGAGTTACGTGTTTTGAACTGTGTATTTTTCTGTTTCTGGGTCACTTTTTCGTGATTCTAATGTTCGTACCCTGTTCTACTCGTCGTTTAACTTAAAAGAACATGTATTTGTAGGTCAAAATTCGTTTATGGTTTAGTGACCCATTTTCAGTCAGGTTTATTTTTCAATAAAGAAGTTGCCTCTGAGCGCCTTTTCATTTTCAAATTACAATACTGCTTAGTTTTCTGTGTAAAATATAAAACATCGTAGCTAAATTGGGCGACATCTGATGTACTGTACCTAGGCTGAATGTAAGGAAGGTCCATGATTCTGGTGCCGTTTGACCTTTGCTCTTTTTGAATGTGATCTAGGAACTTCCAAATGTTAGTATGATTTACAACGTTTTGAAAGTTGTTCAAATTGAGGAAACAGTTTAAAAGTATTATTCATGAAAATCGCTCTATGTCAGGAAAGCCTTCTTAAATCATATTCCGTTGCAAAGATTAAGAGTCTATCTACACCATCGAAACCTGAGCCAGAATATCAGAGTTGAGTTTGAATAATTCCATTTCATAAATTAAAAAATTGAATAGAAACTGATTAATGAATCAAATATAACCGTCATAATTCCATTATTCAGGTCCCCAAAAACCGTCGTCCAAGAAACCTACTTGTAACAAATAAACAGTCGACCTTACAGTGAAAGTGGTTACCATATCTTATTTCAACTCCAGATTGAACCAGATTCAAATTCTTGGACCACAAAAAACCGAGATATTCGTTTGGAAACATCGACCATGGACAAATTTTTACACTGGGCAACTCAGAATGGACGAATTGTCCTATAGTCACAGTTTCATTGAATGAAGACGGGAAAATCCAAGTATTCTCAATGTTCATGTACTCTCCGATAGTTATTTTTCTTTTAAAAAACGGTGCTAGAACCAAACTGTTCAATTTCAACTATTAAACATCACAAAAGAGACAGAGAGAGAAAGTTCTGAGTGCCTTCGTTTACGTACAATCAACATTTATACTTCATCTTTCATTATAATAAATTGTAGCCTCCGCAGTTTGCTTTGATGACCTATAACAAGACACAAAGGATATCATCACACCTAGTCCAATGGGTAGTTTTCACTCATAAATTATATAAATTAATCAAATTTTAACCGCAAGTGAAGATCTCCAGTCGTTTACCGATGAAAGGACCAAAAAGCGTATCTTCACAGAGAATGATGAAGTTTATCAGTTCGCCTTCATTTTCACGCGACATTTCACGAGCACATAGGCGTTCATTAAGTTGCTGCTCGGAAAGCAACGCTCTTGGGTCCGCTTAAAGGAAGGCGCTAGAAGCCTGCTTAGTTCATTACGTTTGCAGGGCGCGCGACAAAAGAAAGCTAAAACCGGCTCAAACACGACAGGAAAATGAGCTTGAAAGTTATATTGTTTCTTGAAACTTGATATAAAAGGGTCATTTTATACCTCGTTAGTGGCGTGGCCACTGAAACGATTGTGTTTTGTTCAAGGGATAAAATATTAAAATGATTTTCTTATTTATTTATTTCTTTATGTTTTTTTTACTTCTTTATTTAAATCTCTCAAAGTGATTGTTCACCAAAGTCCTATCAAAGCGCTTTTTATTTTTAAATTGATAGCCATATCTTTCTTTTATAATTCAGCCGTAGTTCAACAATTTTTCCATTAATACCCCAATTAAGATTAAAGTGAATATATATAAATATTGATAAAAATTGAGATAATGACTATCGAGCGGACAATAAACAAAGCAAATGAACAACAAAACGGTGAGAAAATTCACGATAAGACTTTATTTCCCCCCCAATAAACTTTCTGAAGATTTAGTTAATGTTAAATTCCGCCCACTTACTTCGAGCTATAACTAAAAGAAACAAGGAAAATACCTTTCACAAAGAAAAGGGGGCAATTAATATCTAATTTATCCAATTTGAAGGTCTTACTTTTTCAATCCATTTATTTATATGTTACCGGCNGTAAAGTCACTTTAGCGGTAGAAAAAGTTTTCCGGTAAAGTCACTTTAGCGGTAGAAATCAGAAACGGGGTTTGCCAAAAAAATCGTTTGGCAAACCTAGTTTGCCTAAAATCACTTTTGGCAAACCTAGGTCTGCCTAAAATTTTCAGGCAATCCTAGGTTTGCCAAACGAGGTGCTTGGCAGACCTAGGTCTACCTAGGCAGACCTAGGTCTACCTAGGCAGACCTAGGTTTGCCTAGGCAGACCTAGGTCTGCCTGAAAAACGGGGTTTGCCGGTAACATATATTTTAAATAAGTGTTATTCCTTTCACATGTTTCAGTTAAAATATTTTTCATCATTCTTCGCGTTTTCCTCATTGAACTGTATCATTAAATCTCCCGAGCATTCTTCAATAATTAATTATACAAAAGGCGCGCTGATGAGAGAATATTGCCTGACCTATCAAGGAATTTGTCCTCTTTTACAATTTTTTTAAAACCTTCACAGCCAGTGCTACATAAGGTGTTTCTCAATTAATTATTATCTCGATTAGATACGATTAATTTTTAAAAATGCATATACTGCATTTTATTTCACGGTTGGTGTATGGTTTTTATAATTTTTTTACGTATTATTAAATGTCGACTATTTCTCTTGAAGTGTATGATATGGGATCACTGATAATAATGACTCTATCATCAAACAAAAATTAACAAGACAAGGTCGTTTGAACCAGAGCCTTCTATTTCTCACTTTTCCTTAAAAATTCATGAGCCGAAATGTTTTGAAATTTTTGGAGGAACTGGATAATCAGTAAAACAAACAAATCGCGAAGAACCTATTGCTTTCAGTTTACCCTCAACCATACCTTTGAATCCCTTGAAATTCAAATTTATTCCACTTATTGAATCGGTTTTCAAATTAAAGTATGCTGCTGTGACAACCCGTTCATGGTGCATTCATCCTGTGCCTTATAAATTCCTTAAATGAAGAAAAAAAAACACTGGCAGTGTCAATGAATTCGTCCCAATAGGTACTAAAGAGGTGGCTCTTATAGTGTTCAGCAGGATTCATGTTTTGCTGTCAAAAGAAACGTCCTTAACTTTCGTTTGTAAAAGCTACTTGACAGCTTTTGGTTGAATAAAAGCACAGAACGGAAAATCAGTTTACAGTTACGGTTTACAGTTTACAGTAATAGTTTTACATATACGATCGAGATTTGCGTTTGTAGGTTTTTTATCTCACCAAAGATTTGTTTCGAAAAAGCCGAAAAAGTGACCGCGCATGTCAGCACTAAAAGACTAACAAAATCGATAGACATAGTTGTTGACCTACCTAAAATGTATCCAAAAGATTCGAATTATTGTTAGATATTCAGGGAAAAATTCGATTGGCGTCGGATGGTCAACTTAGTTTTCCATTATAATTTTTGCCAGTTACTTGCTTGTCAAGATCCAAGAAAAAGTGAGTCGTCAGCATTGGAAAATAAAGACACATTGTCACCAGAAAATTCGTTGAATTTGTTCCAACCTTTTCAAAGGTTTCATTTGAATTAGCAAGAGGAAGAATAAGGATTAGATGAAAAAGATGAAGGCGAGTGAAAGGAAAAAGAATAAAAAATGAGAAAAATAAAAAATTAGAGGAAGAATGAAAATATGAATAAGACTAGAAGGAGGGTTAATATAGAGGAGGAGGACTAAAAATATAGTGAAGAATAAGAATAAAATGGGGAAGTAGACTTAGAGTGAGGAGAATAAAAAAGAGGAAGACTACGTATAAAAGAGGAGGACTAAAAATATGATGAAGAACAGGAGAATAAAACGTAGAGTGAGAATATAAAAGAAGAACGAGCATAAAAATAAAAAAAAAGATGGGGAACGTAAAATAAAGCGAAAAATAAAAATTAAGGAAAATGAAGAAGAAAGAATGAGAGGAAGAAATAAAAGAATAAAAAAAAAGAGAATAAGAGGAAAAAGAATAAGAAAAAATCCTAAATCAGCATCGGAGTGTGAAGATCTCATCAACTAGTTCCTAAATCACTTTATTTTCAAAAAATAAGAAAAAACTTGAATTTTGTACGCGTTGCAAATTCTCAGGCCCTCGAAGACATTCGTCGTCAAGATCACCAATGCGATTCGTGAAACAACCCCTCCCCCCCCCCAAAAAAAAAACCCTCGATGGACACGGGAGTACCCAGATCACTCGTAAAACTTGAAAAAAAAAAAAACTTGAATTTCGGACGCGTTGCGAATTCTCAGGCCCTCGAAGACTTTCGTTGTCAAGATCACCAATGCGATTCGTGAAACAGACCCCCCTCCCCCCTCCCCCGAAAAAAAACCCTGGATGGACACGGGGGTGCCCAGATCACTCGGACGGGAACACATGCTCAGGGAGACGTACCATTTAACGGTGGACCTCCGAGTAGCATCCTCTTGGCGGGGGTGTGTTAATCCGCACTCACGCAGCTCTCGTCTGGACCAACGGCACCCGCATCGGCGCGGCTGAGGCCAGACCCGTCCACGCTCACCGCACCGGAGAAACTGATGCCTCTCGACATATCTCGACGACAGCACCCCCTCCCCCCGCCCCGCTGCGGGGGCTAAAGGGGTTAAGTGGGGGATGGGGGCTCCCGATCATGTCCGAGGCAGCTTCCGCTTCCTCTCGTCAAATGAGCCTCTCATTAGGGTAACTCAGTAATTACTGTCGGAGCTTTCTCTCGAAAAGATTCGAAAAGCTCGAAAGATTTCCTTTTTTTAAGGGAATGCTTTTTTCAAAAGGGGGGTTGAAGCATTTATCCAAATACTATAGCAGATTACATAATTTTAAAAATTTCAACATTCATACCAACAATTTTAAAAGCTTGATTTTTGAACTGTAAAAGTAATAATCTTCTCCCGCCCCATCGGGCTCTCTCCGGGGGCTGAAGGGGTTAAGTGGTGGGGGGTGGGGGCTCCCGATCATGTCCGAGGGATGCTTTTTTCCAAATGGAGGGTTGAAGCAATTATCCGAATACTCTAGCAGATCACGCACAATTTTAAAAATTTAAACATTCATACCTACAATTTTTACTAATTTGATCTCTGAACTGTAAAAGTAATAATATTCTGATGGCACACCCTTCCTCCCACCCTTATAGGACGAACTCTAGGGGCTAAAGGGGTTCATTGGGGGATGGGGGCTCCCGATCATGTCCGAGGCAGCCTCCACCTCCTCTCGTCAAATGAGCCTCTCATTAGGATAATTCAGTAATTACTTTCTTTCCATTTCCTTTTTTTAAGGGGATGATTTTTTCAGATGGGGGCTTTAGAATGTATGCCAATACTATAGCAGATCACACAATTTTTAAAAATTTCAACATCCATATCTGCAATTTTTACTAATTTGATTTCTGAACTGTAAAAGAAATAATCTTCTCCCGCCCCCATCGGGCCCACTCCGGAGGCTGAAGGGGTTGACTGGGGGGTGGGGGCTCCCGATCATGTCCGAGGCAGCTTCCTGTTCCTCTCGTCAAATGAGCCTCTCATTAGGATAATTCAGTAATTACTGTCGGAGCTTTCTCTCCTTTTCTATTTTATAAGGGGATGGGAGTTGTTTTTATCAGATGGAAGGTTGAAGCATTTATCCAAATACTATAGCAGATCACACAATTTTAAAAATTTAAACGTTCATACCTACAATTGAACTGATTATTTTCCAAATCACGAAAGCGCCAATCTCTGTTTCGGTGGGGGTTGTTTTTCTTTGATTTCTCTGGTATAATCAATCATGTCTGATTCCAAAATAGCCACCTAAAAGAGCATACATTTTTTTATTGTCAACAAAGCGAATAAAACGGTTTTTTTTGTGTTTCTCACATTCGCAACTTAGGCGCTCACGTGATTTGGAAAACAATAGCTTCCATTTTTTTTCTGATTTGATTTCTGAACTGGAAAACTAATAATATTCTGACACCCTGCTCTCGGCCACGTAGGTAACTCTTCGATCCCATTCGGGGTCTGAAGGATTAAGTGGGGGTCAGTGCTCCCCATCAGTCGCGAGGCGTGAATGATCGACCATCGACATTTTCCCATTTGAAGCTATAGTTAAGAATCGTTTATGAGGGTGGTCGTTGCGAACACCCTGTTTATCGATCCTTTTCCATAGGTTTAAATGGTAGATCAATTGATAAAGCGCAAAGCACGCCACGCCACTGCTCCCTGTAATTTCACAAGTAATGTTGCACGTAGGCTTACCAAGCTCACTTTCAGTTATTCTGAGTCTTCCACTCATGGCTTTTAAGTAAAAAAGGAATGTATCGTAGGTCATCTCTGTATGTACCGCATGTTTCAAAAATGCGTTTAACTCTACGTTAGTTTCGTGCGTGAAGTTTGTTTACAGGAGCATACACTGCATCATCGAAGGTATTTATAGCTAATCTTCCTTGTAAATTTAAGGCTCTTTTCAGCCTTTTAGAAAATGGCCACTTCTCCATTTCACTGCAGCAACACTTCATACTGGAATTCTAGTGGCAAGTTGAATGCAAAAAGCGCTCGCTCTCAACTCAGTAGTGCTCATAAGAGAGTTGAGTGTCAGCTCAGATCCTCGGAACGGAATGTCTACTCCCATCATCGTCTAGGTAATGATTTTTTCTGCGGATCTTGACATGGAACTGTCGTGAAGCTATATTTACGGGTAGCTTAGTATGTGTTTTTGTCTCACGAATGTTATTGACATTTTCAAAGAAACTTTTAGATCCGTGGGAGCATTATGCTACACAAGAAAACTGCACACACTGGAAAAAAAACACATTGGATCTAGAGTCCGGACTCGTAAAAACATCGACAAACCGACAGAAAAAATACTCTTGATTCAATCGGATTTTTGCTTTAATCAAGAACCAAGCCTCTTAATTTGAGCGGATTTCCTTTTGATCTAAGCAAAAATCCGATTGAATCAAGAGTATTTTTTTCGTCTATTTGTCGATGTTTTTAAGAGTCTGAACTCTAGATCCAATGTGTTTTTTTTTCAGGTGCAAGATAAATTAGGGGTAAATAGACTGATTTATTGGCTACGTCATAGTTAAATTGTGAGCAAACACATAACCTTGTCTCTGATTCACGCCCTTCGGGTCACGGTGGTAAATTCGTCGCCTACCTGCCATAAGGGCGTAACTACACTTTGCAATGAACCCTGTCCTACATATAATTCAACGTTTGTCTCTCAATGTGTAGTTACGCTTTTATGACAGCCAAGTGACAAATTGTGCCAAAGTGTTTCTTACAATCGAAATTTCTCGTGTTTAGTGAGTCCTTAATTGATTTATGACCTGTCAATGACTAAATTGTAATGAATTAACACAATTAACTCGCAAAGAATTAGTACATGAGGTTATGTTACATTATTTGTTTTGGTTTGAAGCAAGAGTTCGCACTGAAAAGAATTTGTCATGAGATATCATTTTGACTTAAACGTCATTTCTTGTCGACAGAATGTGATTTTTTTGAGTTAAGTCCGTGCAAATTCAACCCAACATTTGTTTTTTATTGTTAAAAAGGCGTCGTTTTGTTATAGCTAAGTTTAATTTTCAAAAAAGGATATCAAACAACGTTTCTTCAACTCAAAAAAACTGACTTCAGGTTAAAGCCGCACGAATTTGACTGAAAAAAACTTCCAAATTCTGTTGACATGAAACGACGCTTCATGAGTCAAAATAATATATCAGGAAAATTTTATTCGGTGCGATATTACACTGAACGACGCAGTCACTATGTCAGTCTATTTGGAAGAGATAAGTAGAACTGAAAAACATTGATGAATGACACATTTCTCGTCCTCAAAATGTTTTAAAAACGACTCACTTGCACGTCAAATACTCACAAAGAATTAACTTGAATTGAATTTGAATTTGACGTGCGAGTGAGTCTTTTTTTTAAAAAAAATTTGATCATTTTCTTGTGCGGCCTCCAAGGCGAAAAAGTTTTTCGATTTTTCGTTTTATTTTCATTTCTTGTCCTGTTTTAGTAAGGTTTTACAGTAGGTACTTTTTAAAATCAATGACAAGCGTCCTAACACAGTTTTCTCACGTTCAATATGAAAAAAGTTAACATACTCTCTAAAAAAGTACGATCGCAACTTTCAATGTCGCGTGTTACTGACTTGACTGTGGGCGGGGGTGGCTACAAATACTCGTAATTTGGGCTTAGCTTTCTCCGCTACGATGGAATTCTTCGGATAAAACTTTCACAATTGCCTGAACTTTCCCCTTCTTCCCACCCAGCCGTGAGTTTTTCATTGGTATTCCTAGCGGCTCATCGATTGATCAAAAGAAAACGAAGCGCTGAAATTTAATTTCTTAAGTTCGAATTTGTCCCGTATCATCGCGCCTCGACTTCCTCGTCGACCGTCGACCATCGTATCTTAATTTCGACGTGAGCCCTGTTTTAGATGTAAATCAACGATTTTCGGGGCTCTTTTGGAAATCGAGTTATGCCCTTAGGCCAGAGACGCCACGACAGTGGAGAAAAAGTCCCTCCTCCAATTAACGAGTTATTTTAGACTTGTTGCTGCGACACGGTTGACAAATTTCTGGAAGTTTACTCATCCATGCGGTCTCCAAAATGTGGAGATCTTCCTAAGTATTGTTTGAACGAGCTGACTCCTTTTTTTACCTTCTAAAAAAAACCTAGCCGGGAAGTTTTTCTATGCTGCCAACGTTAAGCCTTGTTGAGTGAAAGGTAGGGAAGGGGTGCCGGGAGGGGGGGGGGTTCCATTCTTAGCCTGAAAATTACATTTCATCGATACTTTGGTAAGCTTATAAACTTCCATTCATGAGTATTTTTTCTGTTCTTAAAACGGCGATGTCTAGGGGGACGTTGTCCATGCGAATTGCGGCTCAGTGGCGAGGCGTGACGCGTGAATGCTCGAGTTTCGATATTTCCTCACTTGAAGCTATGGTAAAGAATCGATTATCTGCGTATCTGCGTTGCCAAATTTCCTCTGATAAAATACGACCTTATTGGGGGAAGTTGTGAATATTTTTCTCCGAAGTTTTCAGACTAATTTGTTCGCAATTTTATCCAAACCATCTGAGAGTTCAAGAAAAAAATATGCATAATGTTCGTAATTTCGTTTTTTTTTTAAATCTGCGTATCGATCCTTTTCCATAGGTTTAAATGACAGATCAATCGATATATCGCAAAGCAACTATTGCGGCTCATTCCATAACCCATTCCGGCAGCTTTTCCCCTTTATACTGCCGTGCTAAGGAAGAACGCCGTATGAACATTCGAGGGTTGCCAAATTTCCTTGAAGGAAACATGTGTTTTCGATTAAAATTATGCATATTTTTCCTTGAAATTTTCAGATGGTTTCATGAAATACGTGACGCTAAGTTTCCGATTTTTTACCTCCCTATTTTCCTTCTGAGCATAAAGTATTTTATGAACGGCCCTGGCCCTTATAGATGTTTTTCTGGCATATTCAGGCCAATTTATCCTCCACTAAAGTGAAAAATACATAACGATTGAATTGTCTCACCTTCAATCAAAACATATATTTTATACAAGTTATACACAGAACACACAAAATAAATACTTAGCAAATGAATTTATAATAAATTACATGAAATATCAAGCAAGAATTGTTAACTTCCTGCTAAAAAAAGTTAGGAGAATTTCTAGGACCAGGAAAATCAAAGTTCCTACATTATTAACTATGTACATAATGCACTTCTATTGTGATGTTCAATTTATGATGACAAACATTTGGAATTCCATCAGAATTCCGATGTAATTTTATATCTTAAAAGTATCTAATAAAAATCAAGAGATTTGGACTCCTTATGAATAATGAAGCCATAGTATGGTTTTTTATGGAATCCCAATTTCTATCCTGAACTAAACAGCTGAATAATTAAACGTATTACGCACAGAAATGCGGAACTCTTCTCACTGAAAAGTACTCCATGTGCATTAGCGCCTTGAATTCTCTTTGTTAAATTCACACAACTTGATACAAAAATACTACTGCTACTGAAATCCCTGATGGACATAATTATGTCAAGCTAATTCCAAGAATCAATATGGCATTATGACACAAATTCTGACTCTATCAGTTTGTCTATGCCATTCTTATTTATACTTTTATTTACTCTTAATTTACAATTTTACCTAGTCTTTACGAAGAAAGTATCAGAACATCAAAACTTACCGAAACTGCCATGCAAAACTTTCTTTTAAAATACCACTAGAATATTTAACTAACAGAGCTATATCTCTGGGTGAGTTTTAAATAGACCCAAATAAAAATTTTCGGCAACCACATACCTCTGAAAATATGGACTGAATCAATGCAATTTTGACTGACAGTGACATTATAGTTCAATCTCACGTAGTTTTTAATGCAGAAATATTTTTGGATGAAGGTATCAAGACGTAGGTTTTTGATTGCCATTCTAGTATTGCAGTGTGCAAGAATAATATAATTGACGAATTTTAACAGTAGTTGTCTTTGTGATATTTGGCACCACTGTGTGGCTTGAATACAACTCATTTTAATACGCATACTTGATGTATTTTGCAAAATAACTACCTCATTTGTGCTTCCAATTTTGATATCACTACCTTTCTTATAATTTCTCTACTCGCAGTAAATTAGGTGCATCAAAACACAGCTCAGGTGCAACATTTTTCCAAATGTTTACGTGTAAAAGAATGAAAGTGCTGGATATTCCCTGAGAAATGAAGGCAATGTATACTTAACTACGGTCAGCACAAATAATAAAACAACATTTCTTACTCGAGCTGTAACTATAAAGGTTCAATGCGGTCGGGGTTTCCACATATTACTCTGATTAAGTTTATCTACGAAAGCCTTCCCTGAGCATATTCTAAAACAAGTATAAATAAATACATGGCACTTTAAACAATGGATCAAAAGCCCTTTAAAATTTTTGATTGTCATACCTCATGTTTTTGTAGAATGAACGATGGCTTGAGTGTATACGGAACGTGGTAGGAGGAAAAGATGATGACGTAGTGCTTTTTGCCCTCATTGGCGGAATGATTATAGATAAGAAATCATATTATAACAGCAATAGTACCATATTCTTAATATAAGAACATCTCCGTACAATTTGGACACTCAGATTGCTTAATGCATCAATCCCACACCGATGTTGATGTATTCTGCCGTGCTAATAAGGCAAAACGCTGTATGAGCCTTCAGGCGTTGCCAAATTTTCTTTAATTAATCACGAATTTTTCGGAAAATTTGTTAACGTTATTCCTCCAATTTTTCCTCTTTTCTCCAAAAAAAGGTGCTGTAATAACATCCTGGATGTTAAAAAATTTGCGACAACTCTTTGATGTTGTCATTACCAGTCTAGCTGTTAAAGTAACATCCTAGGATGTTACTTTTACATCCTATCATGCTACGTTAACTGCCAGAGTGTTAAGAGTACATCCAAGAGTTATCGAACATTTTTTTAGCAACCGTAACATCCGAGATTTTACTACAGCATCTTTTTTTCCGGTGTATTTGTGGGCCTTAGGCCTCTCCGTGAGGCCCAGTGGTCATACTCTCCCTATAAAAGTACTCCACTGCCGCAATCGCACGCTGAATTTTAGCAGCTGAATGTGGAAGTCAACAGTCATCGCCCAATGGCTGAAATTTCGCAAATTCGAGTAATTTTCATCCAGATGTGTATCAAATCTACTCGAATGGTTCAGACAAATCCAACATTAGTCCGATGGTTGCTGAGAATCGTTGCTGAATTTTGTGCGTCACGCACAAAATTCAGGCATCGGGCCGATGACTTCCACATTCAAGCCTCATTCAGCTCCCACATTCAGCGTGTGATTGCGGCATACCTTTCGGTTCGTACGACCAAATTGCTTGTTTCCATCGTCGCAATTCTCACAGAACCCAGGACTGCCAGGTGTTGTTGAACTTGGCCGGATTGGCGTTGAGCGGGTCCGGCGGCCGGTTGATCTGCGAAACGAGCCCCAGCTTATAGTACTTGAGCACTTCGAAGAGATGACTAGCGATGTTGATGTAGCTGACGGCCAGGTTGTTGGTCTCGCAGGGGTCCGTCTCCAGGTTGAAGAGGCACGGGCCCTCGGGACACGGGGTTCGATCGGATCGGGCCCCTGGACACCGGACAGTGGCCTCCTGGCGCATGGACAGCATCCGCTCCTCGTCGGAGAGGCTCAGCGAGTAGGTTTGCGACATCGCCGAGAGCGCTTGGTGAGCCAGGGACTCCCGGACGACGGCGGGTCGGTACGCCGGACCCGGGTACTTGGACTGGTCCCCGTAGAAGCCGTCTTTCGTCCCGTTTAGGAATGTCCCTGTAAAAGAGAGGAATCGCCGTCAAAAATTAATGAATGTCTTGCTTCGGAAATGGAGATGTTGCATGTGTGAGGAATTCGTGATTTGACTGTTGATTTTTATGTAAAAGTTCACGAGAAACACGATGATGCCACTGGTTTTCTCTGAAATCAACTCCCAAGCTCACAAAAAGCTCTCAAGTTGAGGCCGAAACGGAGGGGATATCCCACGCTATCCGGAGAGTCCACCTCTACATCAAGACGAACTATCTATGCAAAGATAGGGAGCAAATACATTGACAGGGCTGCCATTTTATTCGGGGACTCTGAGACTGAAAACACGGCAACCGTGCTAATGTAATTGCTCTATATCTTTGCATGGAGAGTTTGTCTTGATGTAGAGGTGGACTCTCAGGATAGCGTGGGATATCCCCTCCATTTTGGCCTCAACTTGAGAGCTGTTTTTTAGCTTGAGAGATGATTTCAGAGAAAACCAGTGGCGCCATCGTGTTTCTCGCAAACTTTTACATAAAAATCTATCTAAGGTCAAATCACAAATTCCTCACACATGCAACATCTCAATTGGTCAAATCAAAAAATAAAAAAAATTAAATTAAAACAAGCTGAGCTTTTTCTAAAATGCGAACCGAATGAGATGTGCTTTTGCTAACGTATGGGATACGGCCCCGTCCATTTGACGGCTAGACTTTACTGCGTGACATTAGTTTTACGGTAAGACTAAGGTGGGGTGGTAGAAACCATGACCTGCACCTCTTCAGCGAACGATGCTGATGGTCATTTTCTAAGAAATATCTCCATTGAAGATGACCACAGGCAAACCGATCCTGAAAATTGCATTAATTTTTGCCTATCCGTAAGTTTCAACACCAAATTGTGATTTCGCTCGTTATCAAATCTTATTTTCTTTATTAAAAAAAAAAAAAATAAAAAATTAAAAGACTGGAGCCGTTATGAAAAAATCTCAATTAATATCACTGAGCGGCAACGCTTTCCGCCCTCGCCAGATTCGGTAGCCCGTCACGTCAGAAACACGACTCTCAAAAACTAAGTTGTTCCGATTTAAACTCGAGCAGAAGGCATACTTTAACGCAACCTTGCCATCCGACTAAAATCCCTTCATTCCGCCAGCATCATGCCCTTAAAAACGTTTGTTTTCTGGAGGTACGTGGCAACCTATCTCTTTACGACGCGACGACTTTCCCACAATTTGCTTATAAATTAAACGAACTTAGCACCCCCTAATAGCCCCCCCGCTCGAAACGCATTCTTTTGTTTTGAAGCTCTCGGGACTTTGTACTACAGGTTAAATTACTGCATCCTACGCGGGTGCTACTTGCACCAGCGCGTCTACGAAATTGTAAGTGCAGCTTGTTGGGAACGTGGTAGGTAAATTTCTCATCAAAAAGGCAACAATTTGCGTAAAATCATCAAAATTCAAATTGGCATTGCTATAAAATTCAATGTTTTTACACCTGTAGAAAAGAACAAAAAAGTAGGTGCCATAAAACATGTCTTCTCATCAACGGTGCACGTGAAAAGGATGAGTATTGTAAAAACGCACCAAGTCGCTTCAAATTTAGACTGTTGACATATTTGAAGTTTTATTCCTCCCTGAGACCTAGTCCGCAAAAAAGGGCCTTCATTACTTTTTTTCTAACTTGCGATATAGAGTGCATTTCTATTGAGGTCGGTCCTCTAAAACAAATTCATTAGATTTGTCCTAATAGAACTCATAAGTAGGAAAATTGCGTGTTTCATGCAGGTTTATTAAAAATTTCTCCTCACCCCCCCCCCAAAAAAAAAAGAAAGAAAAAAAATTGGATTCAAATCGAGCTATGAGCTAATTTAAAGATGTTTACTAATCAAATAATTATTTTGTCGTGCTGAATTTCTCATGGGAAGTTAGAAAGTTCTGTGAACTAGAAGAAGAACCCAAATGGTAAACGGAATCCTGATTGTTCGGTCAATAGATTATATTTCTACCAATATTTTACTTGTCCCACACTGAGAAAAAACTATGGCTTATAAACCTATTAGAGGTAAATATGGAACACCACTAATAGTAGTACCTCTACATATAATAATAGCACATATACCTTAGTTATGGTACGGGGTACCTTAATTAGGTACAGAGACCTTAGTATGGTTCACAGACCGAGAATCATTAGTTTATTTACGACTATTATAGGTGTTCCATATTTACCTCTAATAGGTTTATAAACCATAGTTTTTTCTCAGTGCACATTGATTTCGGGTTTTTTTGCAAACGGTAAGTTCGACTGGTATGGGTGTCCCCTTGGGTGATCTTGAAACTCTGTTCACTCTGTGCTTTGCTGATGACCAGGTGGTGGTTGCTCAAGATCAAGACGACGCGGAATACATGATGCGCAAGTTAGTAGAAGAGTATCGGAAGTGGGGTCTGGAAGTCAGCATATCCAAATCTGAGAAAATGACTTTTGGCGGTGATCAGCAAAGCATTGAGTTGGAGGATGGGCAGCAGATCAAAGGCTGCGAGCACTATAAGTACTTGGGAGTGCGGTTGACCCAGGATGGAAGAACTGATCAAGCGATTAAGGAAAGAAACACCCTGGCAAGGAAGGCTACAGCGATGTCAAATGGAATCCTTTGGGACCCTCGGATTTCCAAGGAGAACAAGAGGAGAATTTACGACGTTGTAGTCAAGAGTATTCTTACATATGGATGTGAAGTTTGGCAGCTGAAGGAGCGGACAAAGGGGATGCTAAGAGCAACGGAGATGGATTTCTGCAGGAGGTCTGCTGGAATTTCTAGGAGAGATCGGGTCCGCAATGAAAGAGTGCGTCAGATCATGGGAGTCGAAAATGACATCATATTCGACGTCATGACCAGACAGCTTGTCTGGTATGGTCATGTCAATAGAATGACGGACGAAAGGCTGCCAAAGAAGTTGCTTGATTGGGTTCCTCCTGGAAGGAGACGAAGGGGACGCCCACTGAAAGGGTGGCGACAGGGGATTTTAGAAGAAATGAGGGTTTGTCAACTCCCTGAAGGGCTTTGGGAGGATAGGGGACTTTGGCGGCTAGGGGTCGCAGAGCGCCAAAGAGCGCTATAAAAGCGACTTTATACATACATACAAGTTCGACTGGACTGTCTCAAATTCAGAGTACTAACGGTAATTTCTCCTCTAAGCGTTAATGTCGGAAATTTTCGATATTATCCCGTCTATGGTGTGAAATTTCGACAATGAAAAATGTAATGTGAAATTTTAATGCTAACTTTAATCTAATAGTCCATAATCTGAATTTTATCTAAGGGTCCATTGAACAGAATAGTTCGGGGGCACTTCATGCTTTTCCGGCATCCATCGTACCGCCGGTGTTTAGTCTGATACCGAGAAATTACAACGATTAAAGCGCGCCTTCGTGCTGTGCGAGTAGTATTCCAACAGTCTTGTAGGCGCTTCCATATGCGTTCCAGGCCAACTGACCGACTACCGACTGCATTGCATTTGGCGCAATGTGAGAAGTATTCAAGTAGTCTTGTAGGCGCTAATATGCGTGTCGCGCCGACCGTACTATTTGGCGCAATGCATGAAGTATTCCCACAGTCTTGCAAACGCTAACATGCGTTTGACGCCGACCGCACTGTGTTTGGCGCGATTATCCGAACTAGCGTCATAATAATTGCAGCATTGAAAAGTGAGGCTTAAAAGGTCCATGTTGTTTTTAGACACCCTATGAGTATTTCAACGTTGCCTTGTTCCTCCTGATAAAATATTTTTTTCCGAAGAGAGTTATGAAAGTTCTCTGTTTGCTTTTTTAGATTGAATGGGCCATTAAACAAGGTAGACGAACTTAAGCACTCTGATACATGATTATTTACTAAAATTTCAAGTACAATACGATTTCCGCAACGAAAAGTACTGAAATTAACTCCTATGGCTAAATTTTTCATGTAAAAAATAAAGTATGACAGGAAGTCTGCAATGCCGCAATCCGAGATATGTATTTCCGCAGTTTCACCATCGATATATTTTAAGGACGTTCCGGCCGCACATACAATCGGAGCAATTTAAAAGAGAGAGGCCAAAGTTAAATTCTGAAATAAAGGCTATTTTTTGCCTTATGATTGTTGATGAGAAAATTTCATTTTATGACCGAAAGGGATCTTGTTGAGCAAAAAATCAAATGATAATCACATAGTGGTTATGGATTACTTCACAATGAACTCTTTGCTGGGCGATATTTTAAAAATAAAATTTGGATTGCTAGAGCAGTTGCTCGACTCCTATTTCATCCGACACCATTAACGAATTGGAGCGTTGACTTCTAAAAGTAACTTTAATACTAAATAGAAGATAACATTTTAATGTCAATTTGGCTGGCTTTCATGGATCATGGTAAAAAGATTGAAAGAATAATCGAGCTGCATGCCACAAACAAATTAAACAAATAATATTTCTCATCTCTACGTGGTTGGAAATATTATTTGTTTAATTTATTTGTGGCTGTAGCTCAATCATACTATTTCAATCTTTTTACCATAGAAGATAACATATATACTCTCTCTTTGCAACCGAAGTATAGTTTGAATTACAACTTGTTAACTATCAGATTCTTACCAATCGTGAGCTTCCAAGAATCCTTGACAATGGCAGCGAATCTCCTTCTCTCGTCAATATTTATGAGAAGGTACTTTCTCGAAGACGGTATTCCGTACAAAAGCGAGACCCATTGATCAATTCCGTCCAAATCTTTGGGCAACTGAGTTGGATCCCCCTCTGAAATAGATATCAAAATATAGCATGATCCTAAACACACAAGTCAAGTTCAAGCACAGGAATGCACATTAGACAAAATTGCACGTTGAAAATAGTTCACGCAAGGAGGAGTTCATGTTATCAATATCTGAGGAATATATAAACATGTTTTATTAACATTAGATTAGCGGAAAAACGTGAGGTTATTTGTAAATTCTGAGATCAATTCGATCATTGTTAAATGTTTATAAGAATGCCTCACTTAGGATTCGAGCTCCAAACTATCGAATCATTCCTGACACACAAGCCAAGTTGAGGCACAATGTGGCACTAGACAAAATCGCTGATAGGGAATAATCACATAACGAGGATTTAAGACATCAACTTGTCAACTATAACATCAACGTTAAATGCTCGTATTAAAACCTCCCGCATATTGTTGCTAACTTGTTCCAACCAGTTCGCCTTCAATATCCCGATAGGCAATGGTAGCTATTTAGGAGCAGTAATAGTTGCTCGCAGCATTTCGGCTACGTTCACTCTGTTTGCTCATAGCTGTGGCAGCTTAACACCTCACTTACAAACAGTGAGTGAGTTTTGTCAGTTGAGTTCCGAATTTTTCGTTCGTGAATCTGTCTCTTTAATTCATATTTTGTTTATAGGGTTATCACAAACGCAAATTATAGTAGTGACCATAAATTATTATCACATATCAAGAGTGAATTATAATTCAGTCGTGTACTGACAAAATTTACTGATTTTTACTGCCCTCTCGCTTTTAGAAACTCGGTAATGTTCTTAAGGACTTTCAATAAGTAACAACGATTTTCACATCTCATCAGGGGGAAAAAATTCATATTTTGGAGAAAATACTTAGATTGAAAATACCTCTCCGCTGCGGAACTAGTGATTCGACTTCGATTTTGAAAAGAAAAAAATTATTGTTTTTTAAATTTAAGTTGTAATGTTGATTATTTATTCCGAATATTCAACTGCGTACCTGCTGCACTGATAAGAGTCGGCAACCAATCAGTTATATGCATCAGCTGATTGCATACTCTAGGACTTTGTTGGAGCCGTGGGGACCAAATGAAACTTGCACTTCGCACTCCGCCATTCCACAGTGTGTTCTTCACCTAAAATGATATTTTGAGGAAATGACACATGTTTAGTTGTTAATAATATACGCGCATAAAATGCTCAATAATTTATTGCATGAAGGGATGGGATTGAAATGTTACGGTGCTCGTCTTACAAAGGGTTGTATGATTCGATAGGGGACAATGGAGAGCAACTGCCGTGTTAAATGGAGGCCTTTTGTCTACTTAGAAATCTCCAGCGTCCAGGGGGAAATCTATTAAAATATTGACATAAAGTTTGTTGAAATACGTTTGAAATATAATTGTAATTAAACGTCATGAATCTGTTTAGGATAGAGTAATTTTTAAGAAAAGCATCGAAATATTATGTGTCACATTTAGCTATACCACCGAAGCACGGATAATCGGTGCTTTACTGTACAAGCGTTTCGAATTTTTTAAGGTAAATAATAATTTGCACGATTCTGAAAATACTGTGATTGCGTCAGTTCCTTTCTGGTAAATGTGATCTATATTGTCATTAATACAGCTTGACGATCTTAGCAAAAAGTCAATAATATTGCTGATTCACAGGGTCCTCTCAGCAGGGTTGCACAGATGAAATGAAAAATTTGAAACGTTGAAATTTTCTTAAAGAAATATTTCATAAAATTTCACAACGTTGTGAAAAATATGAAACACATTTTCAGGGGCTAGGTATGTAACACGCACTAAAAAAACCAAAAAGCAAAAACCAGTCGAATTTATTTAATTTTGCATTTAATTTCGAAAAATATTTTTCAATATCCCTCATATTTCTTTGAAGTTTCTAAAGTATTCCACATAAAATTTCAGGATTTTATTTCTCATGAAAAATTGCAACCCTGCTCCTCAGCATCTTTAAGTGCTGCATAAACACAATACTCATTACTCGTCGAGATTTCTGCTTTAATTGGATGTCTCGCGACGGGCGGCTAACGATTCAAACGTGACTCACCCCGCGGAAGGGGTAGTTTGACCCCCAATTGACGTAATCGGCACCCTCTCCTCGGATGTCCGGCGATGGAGCTCCGTTGTCTGACATGAAGACAATAATCGAGTTCTCAAGCATACGTTTCCGCCCCAAGGCTGCCACAACCCTGCCAACCGACTCGTCCAGTTTTGATACCATGGCTGCAAACACAATAACAAGATAGCGTTGGTTAGTTGCACTACAGAAAGGTGAATTTTATTTATTTTATGTCTTTGAGTTTGAAAATTATCGTTATTTTTTCCATCAACTTCCAATTATTCAAATGGTCAATTTTTCGGGGGAAAATACTTTTTTGAGGTTTTTGAACAAGTTTTCGTCAGTTGCTCCATCTGCAATCCACTTCTTGCACCTCCTGATCCAGCGCCCAGTCAAATCACAGTGAAGGCAAGGTCACTGTACTTTCGGCTTACAGGACTCAGGATTTATTTAATCCCTTTTAACGAAAATGTTTGCCATTGAAGCCTCTGATTTACTACTGATGTCCCATTCACCGTGCTCTTGTTCCACTGAATTTCTTTCAAACATGCACAGTTGAGCAATGAATTTCTCCGATGTCTTTTCACTATCTTTTATCAATAGCATCAAGCTCGACTTAAAATATTAAAACTTTCCGGTAAAATATTGAGAATTTTGCATATCAAAAATAAATTTGGAAGTTCAACCTCACTTTAGCTTTTAAACCATTGTTTGAGTCGTACCAAACATTCCTCAGTTTTGTAATATGTGTAGATACGTCCTCAGTTTTCGTCTCTTAACGAGGTTAAGTTAAACATTTTCTGAGATTCAAAATTGACGTATTCCCAGTTATCTTGAGCTGCATCTTGCAATAGTGTGTTAAATTATTGAAATATTTTTATTGTACTATGCTACTTGAGTTCGAATAATCCCAACGTAGATATGACTGATTTACTTAAAGTAGAGTACCTATATAGAAAGAGTACGGACATTTCGAAATATGGAGCTCTCAGGGCTCAAAATGGCAGCAACCCTCCTACACAAAAAATGTCACTACGAATTTCAGATTCAAATATCAAACCAGGATGGCCAAGAATGTTCACAGATGAGCTCTCTTCCGCAAAAATGAGTAAAATGCAGAAACTAAGGCAAATACGGGTGTTTTACGAAAAACGGATCGTAACAACTGTAACAATAAATCACTCTGAATAATTTGAATTCATAGGTTGGCTGTTCTTTTGGACCCTAAAAGCTCCATGACCTGATGCCGCAATCACACGCTGAATGTGACTTGAATGTGGAAGTCATCGGCCCGATGCCTGAATTTTGCGCGTGACGCGCAAAATTCAGCAACGATTCTCAGCAACCATCGGACTAATGTTGGATTTTTCTGAACTATTCGAGTAGACTTGATACACATCTGGATGAAAATAGCTGGAAATAGCTGGATGAAAATAGAATTTGTGAAATTTCAGCCGTTGGGCGATGACTGTTGACTTCCACATTCAGATGCTAAGTTTAGCGTGTGATTCCGGCATAACATATTTTGCAATATGGAACCAATATCTCTGGCTCTCCCACAAAAGCACTTATCTGCAGAAGGAAACCGATGGCATGTATGTTGTTTCTCAAATAGGCCAGAAATAGATGTTCCTCATTACAAAACGTAATCTAAATCCATACAGGAATGGAGATGTTGCATGTGTGAGGGATTTGCGATTTGACTATTGATTCTTATGTAAAATTCCGCGAGAAACACGATGGTGCTTGGTGCTTCTGGTTTTCTCTGAAATCATCTCCCAAGCTAAAAAACAGCTCTCAAGTTGAGGCCAAAATGGAGGGAATATCCTACGCTATCCTGAGAGTCCACTTCTATACATCAAAACAAACTCTCCATGCAAAGATAGGGAGAAAATACATTAGCAGTGATGCCGTGTTTTCAGTTTTGGAGTCCCCAAATAAAGTGGCAGCCCTGTCAATGTATTTGTATGCATCTTTGCATGGAGAGTTTGTTTTGATGTAGAGGTGGATTTTCAGAATAGCGTGGGATATCCCCTCCATTTTGGCCTCAACTTGAGAGCTTTTTTTGAGCTTGGGAGTTGATCTCAGAAAAAAACCAGTGGCACCTTCGTGTTTCTCGCGAACTTTTACATAAGAATCAACAGTCAAATCGCAAATTCCTCACACATGCAACATCTCAGTTCCAGCCCAATGTAGATATTTTTGTTTTACTGTACGCTATCAATTGGATTGTGTGGCAAACCTGCGTAAATCTGTCGATTAGGCTCGGTGATGTGCTGGAACTTTGCGATGGTCTCCTGGGGGGCCTCCAGTGCGGCCCCCTTGTTCCCCGCGTGAACAGCTAGGTGAGCCATGTATAGGAACAGCGGTTGGTCCGGCGAGTGTTCACTGATGAGCCGCTCCGCTTCCTCGGTGAACAGGTCCGTCGCGTACCGCCCGCTCAAATCCGCCCGAATCGTCCGGTTATCTCGCAGGTCACGACCGCTGAACTCGCCAAGGCCCGGGTACTAATAATCAAAATAAATGATGTGCAAGTTAAATGGATTCCATTTCGCAAAAAGGAACCAAGAGGATTCTAGTGTTGCTAAGATCGTGCAACTTCTTTTGTTTTGAAAGAAAAACTCTGATCATCTATGAACATTTTCTATTCTGCTCGCTAAAACCTGTAAACTCAAGACAAATTACCGTATAAATTTCATGTTTTTGCATGATTTCAGTAGTTTTATTGCAAAGGGTGAAGTTGCACAATCTTAGCAAGATGGCATTGCTCCTGGTTACTTTCTGCAAAATGCAATCCAAATGTGGACCCCATTTGGCGAAAAAAACCAACGCGATTACAGTGTATTCAGATCGTGCAACTTCCTCTCTTCTTTAAATACTTAATTCATGTACATTATTCAAATACACAATTATTTTTCTTGAAAATTAACAATTTTCTTGGCCGTAAGAAAATCTTTTTGCTACACTGGGAAATTTTTAAGACAATTGTGAAGAAGCAACATTTTTACAACACTGTAATTACGCTGGTTCCTTTTTGCTAAACGCGATTCAAGTATCCCGAAGAGAAAAACCATTTCTCTGCTATAACTGGAGCTGTCAGCTCGAAACGCGCACTGACGCCTACAAACCTAAGGGGATACTTCAAGCATTGCGCAATGCGTGAAGTAGCCACTTAGGTTTGTAGGCGTCAGTGCGCGTTTAGAGCTGGCAGCACGCCACGGCTCTTCCGGCGGGCGGGTGGAGAAAGATTTCTTGCGGGGATAGCTCCCTACCGGAGAAACTCGTGTATCATGTATTTTTTTTTTTAATTTTCGACTTTTAAAATTACACACTGGTCGAGTGAAGTAATTAGTGAACTCTCAACGCAAGATGAAGTGTAATAATGAAAGGCGGGTCGTGTGGCATGCGCGCTGCGGACGGCTTATGAAATTCTCTCCTGTGCTCTGTCGCCCAGCTCTCTTCTCCAAATGATATTTTCAATCTTAAGAACGAGGTAACGTACCGAATCTTGAATGATATGGTTGTAGTATCCCATGAGTCCGTTGTAATATCCAAAGTGGGAATCAAAGCCTCGATTGAGTGGAATGTATGGTTGCCGATAGTAACCCAAGTGCCATTTGCCGATCATCCTTGTTGTATATCCCAGGTCTTTCAGGTACTGAGGCAGGAGTTTCTCGTTCAGGGGTAGCCCTGTTGGTTCTGCCGCAAAAATGGGCGATCCTTGCATACCTAGAAGAGGGCATCAAAAAAATATTACATTCGGACGTATGTATGCTAAATGGAACTATGTGCAAGTGGGAAGATTGGGTGTGCTTGTTCGTGCTCGGGCCATAAGAATGAATGGGAAATATAAAGCGCCAGTGACGTCAGCGGCTACGACGAAAGAGACGATCAACGACGCGGTCTTGAAATCATGAGTCCTGTCCACAAGGCTCTTGTCACATATTTCTTATGGAGATTGTGAAGTTTGGAATGTAAGACTATCCCATTGCGCTCATCGTGATTTGGACATATTTATGCTAAATGGAACTATGTGCAAGTGGAAAGATGGGGTGTGCTTGTTAGTGGTCGGTCCATAATAATGAATGGGGATTTTAAAGCGCCAGTGACGTCAGCGGCGACGATCGAGACGCAAAACGGTGACGAGCTCGTCGTCGGGGCGCTTTAACTTATGAGCCCTGTCCTTATTGCTCTTGTCATATGTCCACGGCTCTCGAGTTAACGTTCAGTTCTTTGGCTTTAATTGAACATCCCGCGCTTTTCCATTTTCTCAAAAGGAACTATATCCACTTTTACATTGTTTCCTTTGCAGCTTTCACGAGCACACCTCATCTTTCCACTTGCACATAGTTCCTTTAGGCATAAATGAGTCCATGAGAAGGCATATGAGATAAGTTGTTTCAAAGGATCTGTAGCACACTTGGACTGCATTTTGCAATTTAGAACTATAAATTCTGGCGCTTCTGGAAAAACACTCATGTGCATAGGGAAACTAAAGGCACATACGTTGTTTTTAAACCGGGCTAGAATTTATAGTTCCAAATTGCAAAATGTGGTCTACTTGTAGCTCTCGGAAGAATAATCTTGCGACCGGATTATCCCCACAAGGAAAAACTTTATAAAATAATTATTTTAAGTTCTATAAGAGGATTTTCCATTCAGTGAGAGTAAGAGGAGAGTAAGCGTTACAAAGCTCCGAGAATTAACACTCATGCAATTACGTCTGCTTGTAGCAGAAAAATAAAATCTCGTGCGTAATAATGCCTCCTCAATAACGCACATTTTCCCGCTAAATGCAAACGGGCGTTAATCAATTTTTATGTAATACCTTGAGAGTGCGGATGTTTTTTGCGTGCAGAAAGTAGATTTTTTGTGACTTGGTTCATGTTTGCCGGACTGTAATAAAAAAATCAGAGCTTGCTCCGATAAATGAATTTAAAATATATTGAAAACGCGGTGTCGCCAAGACCCGAAATTAACCCCCGCTTAGTATTTCTGTAACTCCAGCATTTTTTGACAGTTATTAGGGCTTACCCTACATATTGGTAATTGAGAAAAAAACAATAAAAAGTGGCTCGAATACTGTATGTAACGAGGTGGAGAAATTGTGCTGGGTCCACACCATTTCGCGGGGAAATCAAAGTCAAGAAGTTCCAAAAATTATAATTAGAGTCGGATATCTGTTTAACTATGATGAATACCGTACAAAACTGAGGGAGGGGGGGGGGAGTGTTCAGCTCAGGCAGTTTGCATTAGAAAATTAAGTTGGAGTCACGGCGAGAGATCTATACCGGTTTGGGTCTTTTTAGACCTCATCAGCAGATCACACTCGTCAGTGAACCCAACTTAACATGCCGCGAAATCTCGACTCTAAAAATTTCGACTCTGATTATAATTTTTGGAACTTCTTGGCTTCGATTTCCCCGCGAATTGGGGTGGACCTAGCACCATTTCTCCACCTTGTTATATATTAATAACTAGAAACCTATACTATTCACTAGAAACCTCTTAAGCAGTCTGTCTTCTACCATATTCTGAACATAGGGCTGAAATATGAAATATTGAAAAATTCCGTGAAATATTTTATGTAAGTTGAAAATTTCACAAAGTTGTGAAAAATATGATAAATATGAAACGTATTTTCAGGGACTAGATATGCAGCAGTGCAGCACGCACTTAATAACACCAAAAATCTAGAACCAGTCACTTTTCATTTAATTTCAAAAAATATTTTCATATTTTTCTGAGATTCTATAAAATATTTCACATGAAATTTCAAGATTTTATTTTTCAAGAAGTGAAACCCTGTTGTTCTGAACATGACTAAGTCAGATAATTCGTCATAATATCATGACAGTTGGCAACATTTGATACGCACCTGTATGAATTGGATGTTTCCCGGTCATCAGAGCCGCCCTAGACGGTGTACACGTGGGCATAGCGTACAGGTTGTTCAAGATAACTCCGTTGTAAGCGAGAGCGTCTATATTTGGCGTTGGGATTTGATCCGAGCCGTGAAAACTTACGTCGTTCCAGCCCTGGAAAATAATGAGTAAAAAATTAAAAATGGAACTGCCAGGGGAAAACGATTCAATAACGGTATCGGTTAGGACAATGCATTAGATTCGCAAAATGGCGAGACTATTCTATTTCTGTCGGTTTCGAAGAAAGAAGGGCGTGGCTCAACTTATTTGAAGGCAAGCATTAAAGTTCATTTTACTGAAGCAGACATATCACAGGAAAAAAGTATCACAATCCAAACTATACTCTTGGCTGATTTTGACGCCATATACAAGAGTACCTGCAATAGTCAGAGGCACGGTTGAGTCTGCTGAATGTGTGGTTGGATCAACCACACTTCTGGCTAGTGCAACTAATCCTACATCCAGGGCCAAAATCAGTCGGGAGTATTGTTGAAATTGTGATATTTTTTTTTCAGTGTTTAGAGTGTATCGATGCAAATTTGAGGCAGGCTTGAATGAAGAGTAATTTTGAGCTCAACCGGCTGTTTGCTTTCTCATTTCAAAACTTGGAGCTCATAGCCAGGAACTTTTTGTGAGTAGGCGGAGGGGCACTTAACTTGGAAGGGAGGGGGGTTGGAGGGGGATCCGTATAGGACTCTTTCAGCTCCAAAGGAAGGTTTGGGAGATTCCGAAACTTCAAAGGGGGTCCGAAGGGTCTCTCCGGTATTTTAAAAGACTGACTCTGAGCAATTTCGAGCTGCTTTTAATTAATATCAATTAATCAATCATCTCATACAAAAAAATTGATAGACAAAACGATATACAAAGAAAAAAAATGAGAAATGAAGTGATCCCAGTGGTTGAAGTCCGTTGGTGCAATGGACAAAATAGGGGTAGTGTTAGTCTATTAACTTCCTTCGTCCGTGTCAACAATCCGCTTCCACTAATAGGATTGCTCCATTTTCCTATAGAATTCCTAAATGGGGAGAGTGTGGACATGTCGAAATATGGAGCTCTTAGGACCCAAAAGGGCAGCTTACATTCCAACACAAAAATGCCACTGCCATTCTTCAGATTTCTATATCAAACCAAGATGACCAAAAATGACCATAGATGAGCGTTCTTCCGCAAAAAATGGGTAAATTTACGCTAAAACTAGGTCAGATGTACGCGCTGCACAAATTACGGGTCGTAACAATTGTAATGATAAATCACTCTGGTTAATTTGAATTCGTACGTTGGCTGCCCTTTTGGGCCATGTTGCGTACATTTAGCAACAATCAGATCTATTGGATAACTATTCAACTTCATAATAATAATTACCTTCATAATGATGCTACGAACACGAGAACTTTATTTATTTTTTCAATCAGAACTATTGGATAACTATTCAACTTCAAAATAATAATTACCTTCATAATGATGCTAAGAACACGAGAACTTTATTCACTAAGGTTTTATAAAGCATATATAAGTCCAGAATGTTGTTGCCACGGAGACATGAATGGTTGAAGCTTAAAAGCTTTAACAGGCCATACGAACAAGTCCGTATTCTATCTGTGTAGGTACCAGTATTCTGCCTTCCCCCTAAAATTTTAGGAGCCACCTTGGCCAGAAAGCCCAATTCTAGGAGCTATCTACCATTTTTTAGGAGGCAAATTAAATTCTTGCATATGAGCCATTGCGATGCTGGGAACGGTGCGTATGAAGAGTGTTTCATCGCTACCGCTGCTTCCCGATCGCGAGTTCAATCTGTCCAATTTTTCAGGCGCCACGATGGCCGAGCTCCTCCCCCCCCCCCCCCCCCCCCCCCCCCCCCCCCCCCCCCCCCCCCCCCCCCCNCCCCACTAATTTTTAGGCGCCAAGGCCCGAGTTTTAGGCGCATTTGGTGCATGGCACCCGGGGAAGGCAGAGCATCACTGGAAAAAAAAACACATTGGATCTAGAGTCCAGACTCGTAAAAACATCGACAAGAAAAAGTACTCTTGATTCAATCAGAATCTAGCTTAAATCAAGAACCAAGCCTCTTAATTTAAGCGGATTTCGTTGTGATTATAGCAAAAATCCGATTGAATCAAGAGTATCTTTTCTTGTCAACGTTTTCAAGAGTCTGAACTCTGGATCCAATGTGTTTTTTTTTTTTTTTTTTTTTTTTTTTTTTTTTTTTTTCCAGTGTACTTTATATTTCTCTTCTTCCTTTTTTGTCTATAGCTTGGTCTCTCAATTTCAAAAATCAGCCTTCCGGCAAAATGTCACCATAAAATCGTGAGGATTACCAGGACGATAAATTCCCAATCTATCGATAGGGAGCTTCGAGTTTCGGGAAATCTCCTACACCGCGCGATCGAGCTCGTGGAAGGAAAACCCGACTGACCCACTGAGGCGGCTTCCGGAAGCATGGTCCGCCAGCGCCGCGCAACTCCACGGCGGGCAAGGCTCACACCCGCGACGCGTGCTCCAAACCATAACAACCGCCGGCGCCGACCGCGGGACCTTGAACTCGGCGACGCACGTTTCGCGCCACTTATCGATGAGCTATCGACCGGAATCTTCGCGGCGTCCAGAGGAATCAGATTTCCGCGCGGATCCTCATCTCGTAAAAAAATCGAGATATTCGATCGATTTGCCGTGAGGAGCGAGAACCATATACACAGGAAGGATGCATCACCGAATTTTTGTGTTCGTGTGGAAAGTAGAACAATAATTGGATTACATTTTGCAATAAGGAACCACTATTTCTGGCTCTCCCAAAAAAGCACATACCTGCACAGGAAAACCTATAGCGCGTGTGTTGTTTTTAAAATGGGCCAAAAATAGTGGTTCCTTATTGCATAATATAATCCAATTAACCGTAATTAACAATATTAAATACGCGGTTAATATCGTCGTCGCCTGAACGAAGGAAAGTAACTCCATTCCAAAGTTGTCAAATTGACTCAAACTGCTGATTTATTTTACAAAAATGTGGAATTTGTATACAAAACCGTTCTGATTTATACTAGAGCACCTATGTAGCGTGAGTTTGGACGGATTGCTTCATGAAGGGCTTAGGGCTCAAAAGTGCAGCCATTCTGCTAACCAACTTCGAACACACAAAATTGCACTGCCAGTCTACGGATGGGTCTGCAAATTCCAACTCTAACCAAGATGGCCGAGAATGTACGTAAATGAGCGTTCTTCCGCAAAAATGAGTAAATTTATGCAAAAACTAAGTCAAATACGCACTGGAAAAAAAAAAAAAAAAACACATTGGATCTAGAGTCCAGACTTTTGAAAACATTGACAAGAAAAAATACTCTTGATTCAATTGGATTTTTGCTTAAATCTAAACGGAATCCGCTTAAATTAAGAGGCTTGGTTCTTGATTTAAGCTAGATTCTGATTGAATCAAGAGTACTTTTTCTTGTCGATGTTTTTAAGAGTCTGGACTCTAGATCCAATGTGTTTTTTTTCCAGTACGTGCTCTATAAACGACGGTTTCTATCAATTGGATAGGTTAATCGGTCTGGATAATTGAAATTCATAGGTTGGCTGCATTTCTGGACCCTAACTTTATTCGCGAAGGCATCGGTGAAGGCCTGATAGATTTTCGGAGTTTCATATCTGCCTATACTCAATTTTTACATAAAATATGAGGAGAAATCAGTGACATTTTTAGTTAGAAATTTTCAAGATTCCTCTGGTTAATACGCAATTTTCGAGGGGAAATTTGGCAACATTGAAATGTAGTAAAGTCTTTTCGTGAGAAAAAGACGATGTGTTTCGGTTAATTATTATTTGATTTACATTGACCAAATCTTCGGGTTGAAAAATTGCAGCCTCGCTAAAAATCAACGACGAGCCTCTAAGATTAACGAGAATCGCTCTGGTGACAGTTCAATGCACTAGCTAGAGTACCTATTGGGATATTAATGACAGATTGGTAATTTTGAGGTTGAATCACGAAACTTTTAGGACCCAAAAGGGCTACCAACCAATGAATTCAAATTAATCATAGGGAGTTATTGTTACGATTGGTACGACCCGTCTTTTGTGAACTACGTGTATTTGTCTTGCTTTTTCATGAAGTCACTCATTTTTCCGGACGAACCCTCATTTATGAACTTTCATGACCATCTTGGTTTGATATTGGAATCTGCAAATTGGCAGTGATACTTCGTGTAAGAGGATTGGTTGCCCTTTTGGGCCGTAAGGGCTCCATAATTCGACATTTACGTACCCCACCTTTATGGATACTCTAGCTCCGGCCACTCACAAGTCGCAATCTTTGAATGACACCGGGAGAAACAAGAGTACATTAGTTCAGGAAACTTTTCTCATTTCCGGATGTTTCAGAGAAACCTACGATCAATTTAACCAAAATTTGGTCGATCAACCAAATTCTTTTAATTGATCAGACCAAAAAAAAACCTCAAAAGTCAAATAGTAGTCTCAAAGTAACCATAAACACGGAAATTTAAAGTGTGTAACTCTAATGAAAATTCGATTAGAATCGTCGCTACGTCCAGTAAAACTCGATTTACGTGCGGGTACTAGGCTGTTCGGAAGATAGACGGTTGCTATTCGATCGATTTTCCGTGCGAAATTATGGTTTCGTTTTCGCCGCTTCGTGCAAACACCACCTAACTGTAAGAAAATTGTATACTTGGATGCGCGATTTATGCTTTGAAAAACCCGGCAGATTATTGACTTGAACAAGTATACCGTCGTCGCTACCTCCGAAAACCGATTTCCGCTCGGATCCTCTCGGATCGCGCAAAGACAAATGACTGATTTCGGATCGACTTCCGTGAAAAATTATCTCATAGATATCGTTTTGTTACGCGATAAAATATGTGACTCTTATGAAAGATCTCTTCTTAGGTACACGGGAAAAAAATCAGGTAGCATTTACTATATTCTGGTAAATAAACGGCACAACCGACTTTCATCAATATTATCGTGGAAGTAACAAGATTTTTCCTTATTATAACAATAATTTTGGTAGAAATTACCATACTGTCTGGTTGTGCCGTTTTTTTAACAAAGAGTATGGTAAATGCTACCTTATTTTTTTCCGTGCGGTATGCGCTTTTTACGAAGCACGACTGGTCACCGTTCCCGGGTTTACTGCCGTGCTAAGAAAGAAAGCTGTATGAACCTTCAGACATTGCCACATTTCCCTGGATACAGTACGAATTGTTAGGGAAATGTGTGAGGATATTCCCTCCAATTTTTCAGAGAATTTCATTCGCAGCCAGGTTTAAATTATCTGAAAATCTCAGGAGAAAATATTCACAACTCTCCTAAAAAAAAAACATTTTTTTGGAGAGCATCTGGCAACTCTCGAATGTTCATACGGTGTTTTACCTTAGCACGGCAGTATAAAGCAACTGTTTCACCTATTAAATCCCTGTTTAATTCTAGTACAAGGCTTGAGCTTAAATTACCTGGAAACCAGCTTCCGTGTAACTTTTAAGCCAACTTTATCTTCCGCATAGTTTTTTTTCATGCTCATTGTGAGCCCTCCATTCTTATAATGAAATTTTTTCAATTTTCTGAATTTGTAATTATTGTTACAGAGATTAAGTCACAGCTGAAAAAACTGTTAGGTAACCTGACGAGTGCGCACTGATACCATTCCCAAAAAAGAAGGAGGTAGATATGACGACCGAATCTCACTTTTATGCTAATATTCCGCGGGCTCTTAAATATTGATGAAGGTGGCCGCTGTACAAATCGTGGCTCCTCTGACGTAAGGGCGTATCTCAATTTCTACGTGAGCCCTGTTCCTCATACAACCCCATGCTTTTTAGGGCTCACGTGAGAATACAGATACGCCACTACGTTAGAGGAGGGACGAAATCTAACCGGCGTCATTGCTCTTACCCTATTAAATATATCCCAGTTCAAGTGATATCAGAAAATTATGCCAAAAAATGAGATTCCATTATTTTTTCATCAGTCTATTTTAACCAATGGAGATGTTGCATGTGTGAGGAATTTGCGATTTGATGGTTGATTCTTATGTAAAAGTTGGCGAGGAACACGATGTGGCCACTGGTTTACTCTGAAATCAACTCCCAAGCTAAAAAAAAACTCTCAAGTTGAGGACAAAATGGAGGGGATATCCCACGCTATCCTAAGAGTCCACCTCTACATCAAAACGAACTCTCCGACTCAGCAGGGATGCCGTGTTTTCAGTCTTAGAGTTCTCAAATAAAGTGGCATCCCTGTCAATGTAGTTGCTCCCTATCTTTGCCTGGAGAGTTTGTCTTGATGTAGATGTGGACTCTCAGGATAGCGTGGGATATCCCCTCCATTTGGCCTCAACTTGAGAGCTTTTTTTGAGCTTGGGAGTAGATTTCAGAGAAAACCAGTGGCACCATCGTGTTTCTCGCGAACTTATACGTAATAATCAACAGTCAAATCGCAAATTCCTCACACATGCAACATCTCCATTCAAAGTATATGCCATTGAGGGGATCGACTTCTTGTTTTATTTTGAGTGTGAAAGCACAAAGCCGGCGTCAAATGTGTTAAAACTCTTGTACATTTATAAATTCCCAGCCCTCCGCGCCATCCCTAACATAAAACTCTAGGCCGAGCCCTTCTATGGGAAATTACAACTGTCCTGACGTGTGGAGAAAAGGGTTGGTTTGAATTGGATTGCATTTTGCAAAAAAGAACCAAGCGCATTCCAATGTTGCCGGGGTTGTGCAACTTACATTATTTGATATGAAATCACTGAAATCATGCAATGAATTACATTTACAAAGGTAATTCTTGGTTTGAATTGTGTAGTTTCTTGGGAGTAAACATAAAACTTATTTAGGTGATCAGTTTACATTCGTAGGGTGAAAATAGTTGCACAATTTTAGCGACATTGGAATGCTCGTGGTTCCTTTTTGTAAAATGCAATCCAATTGATGTTTTATGGTTCTGAAAGTGCCCCCTCTTGCTACCTATGGAAGGACTTGTGAACAATTGAACTTGTACAAATGAACTTAAACATGAGCATGTAAAAATCAAAGTATGCATTTTTTTTAAAAATGCAAACATCAATTCGCAAGGAACTCAAAAGTTTCCGGTCTGTTTGAGGGAAATTTCAACCGTTCTGACTTTCGGAGGGAAGAGTAAGTTGAATTGACGATTTTTAGCTCTTGGACGGCCCTTTTTGCCACCTGTACGGAGGGACTTTTGAACATTTATACGAAACATGACACTCTAGCCATCAGAAATTGACGAGTATTTTCAAGGACGATAATGTCATACATGCTGACTAAGTTTTTAAGATTTTAGCGACAAATCACTACATATAGTTGCGCAAAACTGCCGCGGCGTTGTCTTGACCTCAGTAAGTGCTGTAACGCGCGGGTAATGCGTCTGTAGCAGCAACAACTCGGAGCCGGTTGAGCACATGGGAGAATTTCATGAGCAGCCGCTAACCCGCGGCCCATGGTCCAAAACTCAAGAGTAGGAAGAAATAAGTCGGATAATCATTGAAAGATCAAGACAGTTTCCAAACCGACTTTTTTTGAGTCGGTTATTTTCGAATTTGATGTCAAATTGCTTACATTTTAACACCCTGACCTATTAATTGTGGGCAAGTTTATGGCACGCTGCGGCGCGGCGGCGTGCTGCCGCTTCCAGCTCGAAAGCGCACTGACGCCTACAAACCTAAAGTGATACTTCAAGCATTGCGCAATACGTGAAGTAGCCCCTTAGGTTTGTAGGGGTCAATGCGCGTTTCGCGTTGGCAGCACGCCGCGGCCGCGGCGCCCCCAACGGGCGGGTGGTGAACGATTTCTTGCGGGGAGAGCTCCTTGGCCCTGGCGGAGAAACTCGTACATCGTGTAATTTTTTTTTCAATTTTCGACTTTTCAAATTGCACACTGGTCGTGTAAAGTAATTAGTGAACTCTCAACGCTAGATGAAGTGTAATAATAAAAGGCGGGTCGTGCGCCATACGCAGTGCGGACGGCGTATGGCGGCTCATGCTGCCAGCTCGAAATGCACACTGACGCCACACAAACCTAACAGCACACAAACCTAAGGGGATACTTCAAGCATTGCGCAATGCGTGAAGTATCCCCTTAGGTTTGTAGGCGTCAGTGCGCGTTTCGAGCTGGCAGCACGCCACGGCTCTCCCGGCGGGCGGGTGGGGAAAGATTTCTTGCGGGGGTAGCTCCCTAGCGGAGAAACTCGTGTATCATGAATTTTTTTTTAAATTTTCGACTTTTAAAAGTGCACACTGGTCGTGTGAAGTAATCAGTGAACTCTCAACGCTAGATGAAGTGTAATAATAAAAGGCGGGTCGTGCGCCATGCGCGCTGCGGACGGCTCAGGGCGGCTCATGAAATTATTCCCTGTGCTCTGCCGACCCGGAGCCGGAAGTTTCAGGTGATATTTGGACTGTGTCAAGCACAAAGGAACCAAACCACATCAGCTATTACGCCGTAGATATGGGTGATTCCATTTTTTTGGAGAGAACTTTGTGATGATTGCTTTCAAAATGAAATGAATTTGCTTCGTACTATGCGGAAAACTATCATATCTCGACTAATCATGATCCACATAGGTTCTATTCAAGGAACTCGTATAAATCAAGGCTCTTATTTCACCAAATACCGTGCTACAAAAGCGTCTAAAAGTGACAAAAAATATGGTAGCTTGTCCCCCTCCCCCCCTTTTTTAGCATTTTTTCTCCGCACATCAATCCCCACTGCATGGCTCATAATGGCAAATATTAAGGGTGGCACCCGAAAGTTAGGCTCTCTGGTCTACAATTTTAAGATGAAGATATACTATGAAAAACCAATCCTGAAAGTGTCTCTATTCGACTTTTTATCACGTTTTGACAGAGGTCGAAGAATGATCAAAGACTTCACTTGAATTGTACTCCAAATGCATTGTCAAAGAGAGAGCTTTCTCTTTTTTGCATCTAATGGAGAATTTGCACGCAATTTTTTTATTGCTTCATCTGAAAGTGCCTAATGAGCTGAGTTCGCAATATTTTTCATAATTTTTTTCTGACATGGGAAATTGGAGAAAAATTGATTTAAAAGTGAGAAAATGTGCCGCCTTGTGACGTCATCTGGCGGCATTTCCCATTTAAACACATGTATTTTAGCAGAATCGGTTATTTTGTCATATCTCCTCTAATAATTGCTCAATTTATGAATCAAGGGTATCTTCGTGTTCAGTTCACTCAGAGGATTCCATTTAAACAGGAAATTCATCAAATTTCAGACCCTTGCAAATTCTCCATTGACCTAAGCAATTGATGACACAGATAACAATTCGGTTAGGACGCCTCAGGTTTCGCTCTCTCATCTTTTGTGACTGTCTATCAAAATCTATACCTCAATTTCAGAAGTGTGAATGGCCAAAGTTGCGAAACACTTCGATAATATAAAAACTCTAACTTCTACCCACCATCTTTACATTTCATCGATTTGTTATAATATTTAATGCTAGGCCACTCAGCTCCAAACAAACTCTCATTTTATTTGAAAGCAGATTGTCTACCATTATCAAAAGGTTGTGAAATCAAAAGACTTACCATGTCATCAGCCAATATGAAAATGATATGTGGTCTTGCCGCGTTGCTTTTCATCAGGGACACGAGGAAGACACTCAAATGAAGAAACAGCCGTTGAATCATCTTGAGGGAAAATGTATCACAAAAGCTTATTTCGCTTTGACACACTACGAAATTAATAACTTCAAAACTTTGCACCGGCAAATTTCGCCTTTTGGCGGGTAATTTTCGAAAATATCACACTCGGAAGAGGCACTATCGTTTTCTTCGCAGCTTTATGCACTTCGAACTATGAGCCGATGATTTCATACTCGAACTTGCGTTAGTGTACAATTTGCGTGACATTTATGACTGGGAGTGTTAGTTGCGCTCGCTGAAACCCTGTTTCCGTCAAAGTTGCTTTATTGCAATTTGCGCTTATTCAGGGCCGACACAGACATCAGCGATTCAGATTGACAGGCGACACTAAACTTTTTTACATGTGGATTGATGCTCGCTTTCTAATTTCATGTAAGTAGAAAAAAATTATGTGTCCCGGTTTTTTTAAGCATTACGACCAGTTCACGCAAGCGTTGAGTCATGGTGTGGGCAACGCTATAGGTGGGGTTTTTAGTTGAAATTTATTTCATGACAATGGTCTACGTTTACTGATACGATTATTCTTTTCGCTGCGCCCGTTTATGTAAATCATACATGAAAGAAAAATCTCCAAATCTCCGTCGAAGTAATTTGCTGACAAAATTTAAAGATCCATCTTCTTTTGAGAAACGATTTCGAAAAGAATTATTCCTTTTTTGGGTGGAAAATCTCGGAAAAGTAGATATTTCTCTTGCTTGAATGAAATTGAAACTTATCGCACCAACCGCCAAAAATATACGCACGGAATTTCATCGGTAATTTCAAAGCAATCCACGCACGAAAAATGAAACTATAGCTTGCTAAATATGGTTGAAAATGTATTAACCAAACTTGATTTCACTTGAAAATAATATTGAAATAAATATTCTCGATATAATCAATAATCTACCAAATGATTTATCGGTGACTAAAATGATTTCTATCCGGAAATTGATTCTCTTTCATCGAATTTTCCATCGAGTTTGCCGATAGGTGCTGCCACGAATGGTTCTCGATGACCGAACTTGAATTTGACTCGAAATTCAATTTTCGCTCGTGGAATTTTCACTCGGGATTGTGGACGTTGCCGCAAATATTCCGATGACCAATTTTGAATTTGACTCGGAAAAATACTTAGGCTCGAGAAATTTTCACTTGAATTTTCTAGGGTCTTCGGAGACGTCTTCCGATGGGGTGGAACTACGTCGAGCCTGACAGGAGGCGCTCGTGGCGCGTGTTAGTAGGTCGCGCGAAAAATCAGAACTGACCGCAATCCTCATTTCGCGCTCCCAGCACCACCGCCTGCCGGCATCACTGATTCCACAGACTGTCGGGCGCCACCGTGAGAATTGCCTGATTTCCTTCTCATTGCCCGATTTTCCTCATAATTCCTGATTCTTAACGGATCTTGCCGTAAAATAAATGTATTTCCAATCAGAGATGCATTGACCAAAGTTCAAAGCTAGTTTTTGACCAAATTCCCTTCTTATGTCCTGATTTTCTTCATAAAATCTGATTTTTAACCCACCTTCCCAAAAAAATGTATTTTCCGGCTGAATGATTTTCATCTTATTGCCTGATTTTCCTTATAATTCCTAATTCTTAACCGACCTTGCCGTAAAATAAATGTATTCCCAACCAGAAATGCATTGACCAAACTTCAAAGCTAGATTTTGACCAAATTTCCTTCTTAATGCCTGATATTCTTCATAATACTTGATTTTTAGCGTGTTTTTAACTTATGGGTTTAGGGCGGGGGCTGACTTGTATTTGCCCGGTCATCGACAACGACGTTCTACTCACTTTGGTACTATCGTCAGTGTCACAAATAAGACAGTCTTTACGGTGATTTTTTGTTCTTAAATTTTTAAATAATGCAATTTTATGCATGGCAAGCATACTAGAAATAAGAAATTAAAGTACAGTATAAAGTTACTTAGACTTTCAAATCCATAGTTTGGTTTTAATTCATGGATTACTGATAGCATCATTTTAAACAGGACATATGCGGTTTTTCAAGAGTCTAGTTTAGCAATTACATTTTTTTTAACAAGCAAAAATATAAATCGAAAGATTATTAAAAAAAAACGTGCATGTTTAGTGTATCAATTTTGATCAAATTAGGACATGAAAACTGATGTGGCGTAGATCAAATCATGTCTTAACTGCCAGAGCAATTTTTTAGGGTCCAAACATAAGAGTGTGCTGCCGTAGAATTTTTGGATTCTCGTCCATTGAGTGAACACTACCCGATAAACAGAAAAAAATATGTTTATGGCAAAGAACCGACAACACTTCGCCATTGATCAATAAACTCTGTAGTTGGGAAAATCATATTATTTTCTGCAGCCATTTTACGGTGACATCGGTCTAGACAAACCGCAGCAAAACCTCACATTTAATTACTTTATGTCGACCACTTCCCGTCGTCAACTAATTATTGCTGTCCCTCAAACGGTTTTCCATTTCATTGAGAGTGATCTAAAAGAGCCTTAATTGAACGCAGTCAACACAGGCCCTCGTGATTTATGATTTTAAAGTTTGGCGGGAGATTTTTATTTTACATGGTTTTTTTTTTTTAAATAGCCATCAAACTAAGTTAGTCTACATATCTTTACAGCCTCGTGAAATATAACATCGACGGTAAAAGTACCAGATAGCGTACATCTCAGTTTGCGAAATTGCAGACTTTACTGCCGTACTTTATTTTTTATAAGCACTGGAAAAAAACCGCATTGGATCTAGAGTCCAGACTTTTAAAAACATTGATAAGAAAAAATACTCTTGATTCAATCAGATTTAAGCTTAAATCAAGAACCAAGCCTCTTAATTTGAGCGAATTTCCTTTTGATTTAAGCTTAAATCTGATTGAATCAAGAGTCCTTTTTCTTGTCAATGTTTTCAAGAGTCTGGACTCTAGATCCAATGTGTTTTTTTTTTCCAGTGAGGACAACTTCTAAACGGTCAATGCTCAAAAAACTTCCATGATTTTTTGTCTGTTCGATAAAAACTCAGTGAGGACTTTAAGAAATGATATTGATTCGTCCTCTCCTTCAAAAAAATAAAATGGGAATGGAAATGTTTAAACACCGCAAACGAGATACGTAGTTTGGCAGTTTTACTGTCGACAGAGCTGGGCCAATCAAGAGTGAATCCTTCAGTGGCCACTCTTTTCCCTCAACGGCAGAGGCGGATCCAGAAAATTGGCAACAACGGATTCCTTCCATTTAAACTTATGTTAAATAATCGATTCTCGTCGGAGCACCTAGCCTTTCCATAAATCGATACATTTCCATAGGTTTAAATGGAGAAAACAATGTTGCCAATTTTCTGGATCCGCCAATGTTCAACGGTACTCTCTCTGTCCCTGTTTTGGAGCCATTGGATCATTGAATATATCAAGACTGGCGTAACTACTAAATCGGTCTATCACCAGCGACCCGGGCCAAATATTCGGGCAAAGCGTCCTAATTTGTCTGCAAAGTCTAGGGTACCCCAGAAATGAGTCGCCGGTCGGTAGAATGTACTGCTGTGCTAAGGAAAAACGCCGTATAAACATTCTGATGTTGCCAAATTTTCCTCGATAAAGCATGTATTTTTGACGACACTCATGCATATTTTTCCTTGAAATTTTCAGATATTTTAGATTAAAGTGCGTGAAAAATTGTCTGAAAATTTTGGGGGAAAATATTCACAATTTTTCCAGTCAATTAGGTTTTTATTGATATAAACTTGACAACGTTTGAAGGCTTATACGGCGTTTTTGGCACGGCAGTGTAGTAGGTTGGAGCATGAATCCGGTAGTATTTCTCGAGCGAGTGCCGAATCGGCCCGAAAAACCCGCAACGCAACGCTGCACATTAGAATGGGCCGTAGAGAGAGGCCAGCCATGAAATCTCCGACTAAAACAGAAATTTTTTATATTTATTTTGTTACTTTTTGAATTTGAATGTGAATACGAATGATTGCGTTTTATGTTTTGATCCCTGATGACTGCCCGTTACACCTGTCTAAACGGACCCGTGGGGATATTGTAGGGGTTCTTATGGGAACTCTTTGGGGATCGGCAAATTTTTCCATTTAGATAGAAATTCAAGAGCTATGGTTCCTATGGGAGCCTTAAGGGTTTCCACAGATCACTCTGGTTGCTTCATGTGTTCCTGCTGGTCTCTTCAGTCACGGGCCCGCAGCAGGTCTACTTCCCCATTCTATGGGATCCAATGGATCCCTATGAAATCCTCGAGGGCCTATTCGAAAATCTGATGGGCCCCAGTAGGACCGTTATGGCAGGAGGATTTTTTCTTTTTTATGATGCGTTAACAAGGATAACATCTAATCTGCTCGCAAAGGTTGCGGTTTTCTTAAAATGAATCCCAAACATTTGATTAGACTTTCCCGCTTTGGAATAAAAGTTTGAGTGGGTGGATTTTCCCAATTTGAAAGCAGGACAGAGAGGATACTTATACGCAATTTTTTTTTCAATTCCTGACAATGTAATCAATTCGTATCAATCGTACACACTTTTTTAAATTTTATCAATTTATCAATACTCAATTTTGAACAAGTTTTTTCCTTGTATACGTGCCTGATACGGTAATGGCTGGAAAAACAGGATTTAAGCCCCAGTAAAAGAAATAAGATGAAAAAGAAGAAGAAAAAAAGGAATAGAAGAGAAAGAAGGAAAGGAGGAAAAAGAGGAAAAAGAGGAAAAAGGGAAAAAGAAAAAAGGAAGAAAGGAAGAAAAACAAAATGAAGAAAAGTAACAAAAGAAGAAAAATAAGAAAAAGAAGGAAAAGAGGAAAAAGAAGGAAAAGAAGGAAAAGAGGAAAAAGAAGGAAAAGAAGGAAAAGAAAGAAAAGATGTAGTAGTAGTAGTAAAATAATTTTATTTTAAAGATGGAAAAGAAGGAAAATAAGAGAAAGAAAGAAAACAAGAAAAATAAGAAAAATAAGAAACAGAAGAAAAGTAAGAAAAGGAGGGAAACAAGAAAAAGAAGAAAAGAAGGAAATGAAGAAAAAGAAGGAAAAGAAGAAAAAGAGGAAAGAGAGGAAAAAGAAGAATGAATTTCTAGGGACAACTTTTAAGTAGATTTTGTTAGAGAACCAATAAAACTACTGTGCATCACAAACATTGTACATATCATATTAACAAAGATGTACGACTTTCAAGTTTCCACATAATGACAGATCTCCCCAAATAGCTCGTTTCTCTGTACGCTTCTGTAGCGGCTTGATTTGGTCGTTCGATCGCGTGGCGCGTCGGCTCAAGTGCACTGGGATATTTAGGCGGAGGAACTCTGCTCGTTAGCCGATTGCGCCGCTTGCGTCAGGCAGGCCAGGCCGCACAGTGGATCCACTCAATTTAAGAGATCGAACGGGGAAGTTTCGACTAAAACTGCAGATTTTGATATTGACTTCGTCACACTTTAAATTTTAAGGAGTGCTTCTAGAAGAAAATTTTACAAGGAAACCATTGAAACCACCTTTAGAACCTCAAAGTTCTACATGAACGGAGTTATAAGCGTTTAAAGTTTCCGAATTTTGTCCGACCTCTCCTATCGACTCTATCCACTGTGCGGCGCGACGCCAAGCCGGCTCCGGGTTTTCTCACGTTGCTAGTGCTGACTGTCTTGCGAGCCAACCAGTTGCTTGAAAAGCTAATTCAGTCGAAAATTTTCGGTAGAGCGAAAATGTTTTAGGCGAATGTTGTTATATAAAGTACGCGCACGGCTGCTCTTGTAGCGCTCTCTGGCAAAGACTAACCAGGGCCGGATAGAAAAAGGGTCTGGGGGGTATAAAATACCCCACAGGGGATCGGTGGTCCGGGGAGGTATCTCCCTGAAAATTTTTATATCTAAGAACCTTCAGACCCCCATTTAATCGATTTTAATGATGAAAAATTGTGGACAATTCTTATTGTTAGTTATTTTGCTGGAAACGTATTAGTGAATCATTGAATGAAAAGGGCAAAACAATTTTTGGAAAAGTTTTAGACCATCTCGTGTGACAAAAAAAAAAAAAAAAAAAAAAAAAAAAAAAAAAAAAAATTGCTAATCCTTTTAGTGTGTGAATATGTAGACTCTAGGAATGTTGTAAATATTTTTTTCGAACGGTTGAGACAGTTTCATTCACAATCGAATCCAAAGTACCGAAGATTTTTAAGTAAAAATGTTTAACGCTCCTAAAAAATGAACATTTTATTCGAGGAAATTCGGCAACGGGCAGAAGCTCGTACGGCGGAACGGCGGTT